TAATGTCATATATTGATTGGTTATATGTGATTTTTTTTTGTGATCTGCATATCACTTACAGAATTTCCAAAATTTACATAAAGAACATAGTAAACATATTGTTTTCAAAACACTACTCCTCCTCTGTTTTCAAAGATATAGGCATTAAATTTCCATAAAAGGTAGTATATACATTATACTTTAGAGCTATGGAAAGATTTAATGGATTAAAAATATCAGTGGTGTAAAAAACTCATTCATCAGGAAAATGTGTATCAAAAAACATGTTTTCCTGATGCTTCAAAATACAGAAAATTTCTTTCTTTATTGTAATACTACTATCTATTGCAACTTCTGAAAAAATTGTATGAAATAAAGATTCTCTCTCCATAGCACTGTTCTACAAATGTATCCTGTTCAAAAACCTCTAATTATTTTATAAATGTAACGATTTTCCAGAAGCCTTAGCTATTGAAAGTCCATAATACTAATAAAATGCTAATAAAACATGCTGTTTTCAAACCACTACTCCTCATCCGTTTTCAAAGATATGAACATCAAATTAGCATGCAAGATAGTATATGTAATATAGATTAGAGCTATGGAAAGATTTAATGGATGTAAAAATATTAATGGTGTAAAAAAGCTCATTCAAAATAGAGAAAATTTCTTCTTTATCATAATACTTCTATCTATTTCAACTTCTGAAAAAATCGTATTAAATAAAGATTATCTCTCCATAGCACTGTTCTACAAATGTATCCTGATTAAAAACCTCTAATAATTTTATAAATGTAACGATTTTCCAAAAGCCTTAGCGATTGAAAGTTCATAATACTAATAATGTAATAACATATTTGAAAATATATTTTGTTACACTGTTTCCTTTTTTAAAGAAAAAAAGGGAACCATAAAAAAATCCGCATATAGTGCAGGACACCTAGTCACTACAAATTTTATTAGTCTTGCAAATCCTTTAACTCCTCCAAAAATGGAAATGTGTGACCAAAAAAACAAGATGACATTTTGAAGCTAAGACCTTTTTCTACAAAATGACATTTTCATTTTGTTGATATGCCATGTTGTTGTGGAGGAATTAAGCCTTAAAGTTGCACAATTTTAACAAATTTACTATGTTAATCCTCCAAAGTGACGTGTTACACACAAATTTTTTATATTAAAAAATGAATGAATTGGAAGAATTGAAAATTTTGAAAACTGTATTGTAGATCTTTTATCACGTGATACTGATAAAACGTGACAAACCTATTTTAAAACACGTGAGTGTAAAAATTTTATTGCATTTTTGATTGTGAATTTTTTCCCAAATCTGTTGCTGTGGCGCAGAAAGTTGTAGGGACTAGGTGTCCTGCACCATACAACACATGATCACGTACCCTTTTTGATTGTAATATATATAAAAAATTCTCTTGCTACTCACAAACTCTCTAAACTGCAACACCATAGCTTTGATGGCAGGAATTAAAGTCAGCTCATATTTTATCAATATATCACCTGAAAAATGGAAAATTTCCGAGTTTTACAAGTATCGCCAGCAAGGAAATGACTTTACCAGCTCGTTTTGGAAGGAAGCTTTTATACTTAGGAGATCTCTCAATTATCTTATGAAAGGAGACTCATCAGAAGTCAAGAATTATGCTACTCTATTGGATAAAAATTTCAAGGCACGTAATGTTTGTTTCTGAGGGCCTTAAAAATGGTTTAGAGCACTCTCTACGACTAGAAGAGGTCTTCGTGCCATCTCTTTGATGATCTTCATGTTCGTCATAGAACTTTTATGGAGGTGATAAACTCACATAGCTATGGAGAATATCTTCGCGCTATTCTCCTGATGATCTTTGTGTTCGCTGTGGTCCACATATAATATTAACATTAAAAGACCTCTTAATTTGTGGCCAAGGCTAATAATCTTCTATTTGTGTATTGAAAGGGTCATCGTACAAGTGATATGGATTCAAAGTTATTCTGGGACAAGATCGAGTTACAATTAGATTTTCATGCTGAAATTGAAATGAGAGAGAGGGAGATGCAGTTAGCCGAGGTTAGCAATATTTTCTGTTATTTGATTCAAAGAGGTTATATACATAACTGTTAACTGCATCATTTCTCCTACAGGTTGGGACAGCAACTGGCATTATGAAAAGGATTGATGGAGGAGCTCTGTTATGGATAAAATTTTGCATGATACTGACTAAGACGGTGTACTCATTATTGTATTCTCTATATTATTAAGAATGAATGTTTCATTCAGACTGATGAATGGGTCCCAACGAAATGGAAAAAAATGGATTATTTTTCAGTCACTCCTCTCCAACGTGAACAGGACCAACCACCACATCCTCCTCCAGATCAAATCTATTCGTTAGGTGCTTTGTCAAATGCCTTCGTCCCCCCTTAGTAATTATATTCTAATTCGCAATAATGTCTTTTATAAGCCTTTTTGACATGTCATAACACAAGGATGAACCATAACAGTGCGATAATGAAGAATCACATGTTCAAGAGTTCTCGGATTCGAATACATGGTGAGTCTTGGTATAACAGATATGTTTGTTCCAGGAAATTTATCCGCTATACCGAGTCATCTGTAATACCGAGATATCCACAAAAAATTGAATTTTTGATTAAATCATGTGATACATGTTGCGTAAATAATTTTATTTTTAAATAATATGAATGCAAATAACAATGATGGTAATAAAAATACATTTGGTAAAGTTTTTTAAAAAAAAACCATTCATTCACTTAAAACGTTGACATTATAATAGTCTTCCATTATTGTTTGCACTTGTTCTTGAGAATTTTTGCAAGAAATTTCACTTTTAATCTTTTGACATTTCTAATTACTTGAAAATCAACATCTAAAATTTTTTTGCTGTACATATTTAAGTATAGTTTCCGAAGCTTTTATAGCCTCCATATTAATGATCATCAGCTCAGGTTCATTTGTTTCATTTGTTTCATCGTCATCAACTTCACTTTGTCCTTTTACAATATTTACGATTTTAGCACATAAAGAAATAAAAGGAAATGACATGTTGATAGTGTCATTGCCAAGAAATAGCTAGCAATATGTTAGATTAAATTGTGGATGTATTGCTGATTATTACAATCCATTTTAAATAAATTGCGCGTCATTACTCTTATTGGCCAAAAATAGTGAAGATCCTCATTATCTGTAACATCGAGAAAAATTTATTACAAGTGATATATATGAATTTTTAAAAAATATCCGGATATTAATTTAAAGCTTTGCCATCAATTTCAGAAACCATCTACCATTATTATTTTGGATCGTTGATATTGCTTCTTCTTCCAATTTATTTATATCATCATTAGATGATGATGGAAGGTTATAAAAAGGATTCCGACGAAGATGATGTGTTTTGTGCAAGCAAATGCAAAGTCAAATTTTACTAGAGTAAAAACAAGTGGTGATAACTACCATTCTTATGATAAACACTCATTTATGTGTGTCTTTATTGTGAGGTTTCTTTCTTCCTTTATTCCCATCTGAGCATGATTTTTAGAAAAAAAGAATCACATAAACAAAATAAATAATAATAATTATTATTATTGGCACTTGGTGTTGTACAAAAAATTTTTTTGTGTGTAACGAATGCAAATTAGAAAACAATTATTAATAAGCATATTATTGGAGAGTAGAATAACACAAATCACATTATTTGTACTGCCCCAAGAGGTATAAATACATTTTGTTTTAGACCAAGTTAATAACAATATTGTTGATAACAATCTTGACTATAATAACTCCTAACACTCTAAATAAAACATATAACCCTTACATAAAATAGTCTTTGACTGTAATTAACTACTAAATCCAGTGTGATTGATTCCAGCCCTTCTATGATTAATGGTCTGACCAACCTTTAATTATTACTTGGGAACCCTTTTAGTTATTAAACATATTGGGACGCCTTTGGAATATAAATAGATACACTAACTTAGGGATCTTTTAATCCAGACTGTGGGTTGTAAGATAAAATTGTTATTGGTTGTAAATCAGAGGTTCTAGAAAACCAGACATGTGTCATAGGTAAGCTATCTAGACTAAAGGTTGTAAGATAGTGAGATCAATTGTAATTTGGAGGTTCTAGGAAAACTAGACATGTGTTGATATTTGGACTTAGGGTCATTATGGGCTGTAATTCAGGGCAAAGTAAGTCCAGCTGTGTGCTAAACATAAGAATTGGCTGGTAAGTAAGTAACTTGGATTGCATGCTTGCAATATAAATTCTATATACTATATGATTGTTAAGTATATCAATATAATTGGATTTTGGTGAAAATAAGCTGTGGAATCAATCCTTTTGTTGGTGTAATCAGACTTAACAAAAGAATGAAAATTTTTAGAGGAAATTTCTTTGAAGAATTTAGGTAAGTAATAAAAAACAATAAAAAATTGAAATGTTACATGCATGATTTCATTGGTTAACTTCACTTGGTTTTGTGGTACAATAATAGCCAATGATCAGATTTTGTCTAGTGATGTTAGCCGGCTTAGATGGCTAAGAACTTGAATAAATTTTTTATCTAGCAAATAACATGAATTCACTAAAAATTGGCTGCTTTTATTGTTTTCACTATTACTAAGTTTATTTCCTTTATTTGTGCATGAAATTGATGTGTGAAGATTGTATCCAAAAATTTTTAATAAACATACAAGTATAAATTTTCACACACAACATAAAATCAGCTACAGTCAACCCTCCGTAAGTGCATGCTATGTCTCATTCCCAACCTTGGGACTCAAGAGATAAATGCATCCCTCCATAAATGCATTGCGTGGTCTTTTC